ATACCACCATGTCTCCCTAGTATAAGGAACTGAAATAGTAAATAAGATCTAAAGTCTTCTATAAACATTATGAAATGGTAAAAAATTGCTCAAAAGGAGAAAATAACTCAAATAGGGAAAAGAAGAAAAGGAAGGAAAAAGAAAAAATATATAAATTTGTATATACACACTTAAGATAGCTAAGAGGATTGTGCTACTAGTTCTATTAGTTCTTGAAACAAAACAGTTAACACTCATAACATTAAGTCAGTGTTGCATGTCTATATCTGATAATCTGAGTAACTCTTTTGAAGATAACTATTCAAGCTAACAACCTTTGTTAAGTTCCTACCACCAAGTTTTGAAAGTCATATTGTTCTTATTTTGGGGTTTTTTTAATTGTTGCTTATTTGTCTCTTTTGCTTCTTGTTTTTCTTGTATTTCTTCTGGTTTGTTTGGTACTCTTTAAAATAAAATTTTAAAAAAATAAAGCTGGAGCCTGGGGATTTAGCTCAGTGACATAAGTGCCTGCCTGGAAGGCATAAGGTTGTAAATTTGATGCCCAGTACCAATAAATAAATAATCAAGTTGGCATGTGACTTTATAAATTTAAATCAATGCAAAAATATTATTTTTATTAATTTTTTAAAATGTTTTCTTTTGCATAAAAGATAACACAACTGTCATTGTATTGCAAATGCCCTAGGTGTTCCCTAAAACAATGCTGACATACATGAAATAGCTACATATGGCATAAAAATTCAAATAGCCACAGTTGCGCAGCAGGAGAAACCGACCCAAGAGAAATAGAATTAAAATTATAAATAAATAACAATACATGGATATTCATGAAATCTGATACTGATGTTGAAGAAACTAACCTTTAAGTACTTAGAATTCTAGTGACTTAGTTTCATATTTATGAATAATGTCTTTTGTAATCAAAGCACTATGCTATGAAAGTCTCATTCTGATGACACTTTTGTTACATAAACTGGCAGGATTTAGGACATTTCAGGATGATGGTACTAGATAACCTTTGCTGAGTGTCTCCTACGTAACCAGCAGAGAACCAGTCAGTTGAGGTATTGTTTATCTTCTTCCTAATGACAACCGAATGGTACTCACTATCCTTATTTTACAGGTGAAATTCAGAAGAGGTCAACAGACCTAGCAGGTGATTACACTATTATCTCATGATCAGACTCTAAAGCATAGTGTTTACTATAATAGATTAAATGTATGAAGAAGATTTCAATCAGAATTAACTTCAGAGTTCAATATTTGTATGTTACTGTTCCTTAATAGAGACATACATATCTTTCTACTCTGTGAAAAATTATTGGAAGAATAAATGATGTTCGGTTAGTAACAAATATGTTGTAAGCAGACTTCTCCAATTCAGATAGATATGGGATTTGCTGTATTAACTTTACACATTTGTTCAAGTAATTTTAAAAGTAAAATGCCTGCATTGAGATACATTAAGGAAAAACATCTTTTTCTTTAATGTATATAGGGCACCCCTACCTGAGTCTATGTCTAAAAATTTACCAAGCAGGACAGAGATGGATAGATGAATGTGTGTAATGGAAAACTCTGATAAGCTTTGGTAAACATGTACAGTATGTTGCACAGAAAACACACTAAATTGTCAAAATGAAACCCTTGGTAAAGTAAAACCCTTGGTCTAGTATTTGAGATAACACTGTAAAGGACATACTATGCTTTTTGTCTAGATGTCCTCTCAAAGCTTCATGTGGTCACAGATGGAGCTTTCTCCAAAGGTGGCTGAATCTAAAGTGGGTGATGCTGGATTTGACTCATGGTAGAATGCTAGGCTCAAGGGCAGTAGGGGTAAGGGTGTGAGCGCTACACTCACTGAGTATCCTGCATAAGATAAAAAGGGACAGAAAGACACTGTTAAGGTTCCTTGCTTATTGATTTTGCTGTCTTCTGCCACTATGAACTGCTTCCCCTCTGTGACGCCTGTCTGCCACTGCACCCTAACGTGGAGCGACCTGGTTATGGACTGAATCCTCCACAAACTGTGAGCTAAATAAACTTTCTCCCCTTTAATTTTGGATGTCCAGTATTTATCTCAGCAATAAGAAAAGTAACTAAAATAGGATATTACTTTAATGGTGAACATTTCTAGCAGTATGTAAAAGTGTGATGAGTTCACTATTTTCCATAGGAATTAACTTGTTTTTTCATATGAGGTTAGTATATGTTTCATGATGTTTGCAATGCTATCAAAATTCATTTCATTTGTGCTTACAAAATGTACAAAACAACCAGCTGAAAAGCTAACAATTCAGATAAGCACTGAATTACTTCACATACATTACACAATTACAAAATGTACTCTCACTAAACTAGGTTCATAGTCATCCTGTAAAAAGAAGCATGCTATAGTCAAACCACCACTAAACTAGTACCAGAAGTCCTGGGGCTTGTCTATGCCTTGTCCCTTGGTGCATTAGTTGTTACATTTATTCAACCTTTCTAGGCCTCATTTCCTCATTTGGAAAATAAGACAATTCAAACACACGATCTCTGAGCTCTCCTCCAGTGTGAGGCTTCTTCTTTATGTATTAGGCATAGGTCTATGGGGCTATACAGTAGTTAGCTTCTTGGCCAAAACATAAGACAATTAAAGTGTGTGACTTCAATTCACAGGTAAATTGATAATATTCAGCTGTTCAATTATTCTTTTTCAAATAGATAAGTTAAAAAGTAAAACTCTGCTTTACAAAATTTGCATCCATGTTATAATCTAAACAAATTAGAAAGGTGTCTAGTTCTCAGAAATTATTAGATAATACCCTTAAATACAAAGTATTAAATTTTCTAAAAAAAAAATAACTAATACATTATATGACTAGTTCACATATTCTATGCTGCATTTACCCCTGGTAAACTGCTATATGGCTAAAACTTACAAATATTCAAGGCAGAAAATTCATTTTAGCCTTATTCCTGTAGAATAAGATATAATAGCATGAAAAGTATAATTCCTCATACAAGGCAACAGAAGAAAAACAATGGGAGAGAGGTCGTAGTACTATAAAAAGTAAGAGAAAATCAAAGGTGAATGCCAAAACTTTTTAATTTGTATCAAAAATTAGGTAATGGTTTTCAACATATTAAAAAGTAAGTAAATATAAAATGGTGAGAAAAGAGTGTATAGGATACACTATGAGTCACAGAAGGAAAGAAAAAGCAAAGAGAAAGAAAGAAAGAAAGAAAGAAAGAAAGTGGAAGGACAAGCTGTGACCACCTAGAGACTAAGATCAAAAGGACACAGCACCAAACAGAAGGGCAAGCTGAAATTTTGTTATGTCCCAACTTTCAAAGAAAGGCGCAGGCCACAAGTTTCCTTAGACTTTCCAGGCTCCTGGGGCCACTTAGCTGGTGGTTAACACCAGAGCTATGCTGTCCAACGCTGGAGCAACCAGCTCCTGTGGTCATCCAGTGCCTGAAATGTGGCCCGTCTCAAATAAAATGTGCTGCAAGTCTAGATCCACATTCGCCTTCAAAACTTGGATGTAAAAATGCGAAAAAGAGCACAAATGATTTTTATATTGATTACATGTTAAAACAGTAATAGGTCAGACAAAATATAACTGATTTCTCCTGTTCAATTTTTTTTCTAAAATCAGAAAATTTGGCTCATAATGTATTTCCATTTGATAGTGCCAAGTAGAACTTTAGACAGAAAATTTCTATTACAATATGAAATATAGGAGTAGAAGATAAAAGAAGACAATGCTTCAGAAAGTAAAGCAAAGAGCTATATATACTAGGGAGATTAGTACAAAGTCAAAAGAGAATAGGGGAGTTATGGAAATAATCAGAAATGTAAGCAGTACAACATTCTTTTTAACTTCAATTTGCTAACCATTGTCCAACTCAGAATTGATTTTTTTTCCACTTACGTCATTTCCAACGTAATGTTTCTCTTAAGAATATTCAAATCTTTTATTTTCAAATAACCATTTTCTTAATGAACAATACAGGGGTCACTTCAGTGAATTACCTAAAAATATCTGTAGCAGTGTTTCTGGAAGTAGTGCATATTAAGGAGACCAATATGAGCTCCCAAAACCAGCTCACCTGAGGATTGCTGCGTGGAAGATGCTCTGGGAAGAAGCTCCACTCACAAGAAGCTCAAGTGACACGAGCCGGGGAGATTCTGCTACTGCTCAAAAGCCGCCTTACCTTGTGGAGATTCTGCTTTTCCTAACCTGTTTTTTGTACCTGCAGTTTTGAACTAGAAACCAATCAATCACGTTAAATGAACAATAAATGTGATTGTCAATCACAATCAATCAATCAATAAAACCTCTGTTGTCATGAAGCAGCCCTGCTTTTCCATAGCGTCTGTAAAAACACAGTCCCTTGAAAGTTCTACAAGTGTGCACGCACAAGTTTCTCCCTTCAGTTCATCAGGAGCTGGTTTAACTTTTTAACGAGCCATTACTGCGTTTAGCTTGCAGAATAGTAAGATTAGTCTGGTCTCCACTGACTGAAAATTGAGAAAAGTGTCCTTGGGGTTAAGGGCTCGTTCAGTGAACACGGAAAAACTGAGTCATCCAGAACGCACGACAAAATGAGTGACAGTACTTTGAAAGCCTGTCAAAAAGCCCAGACCCATCTGCACCTGGGCTCCGCAGTAGGGTCAGGCGCCCAAGGTCACCAGCGGCGCTCAGCCTGGCCGAGCCTGCGCGGCGCCTGCAGGACACGCGGAGCCCAAGGGGGCGCCACCGCCCAGAGCTCCTGGTGCGCGGTGTCCCGAGCTCCCTCTCGGCTCTGGCGTGCGTCCTGGGCGGGCGGCGGCGCGGACAGCACACCGCGGGGACCAGGGAGGAGGACAGCGCTGCACAGGACGCGGGGTCAAGCAGGGGCCAGAGCGGAGCGCAGACGGACGCACGGACAGACAGAGCCCAGCAGCAGCAGGAGGAGGAGGAGCAGGAGGAGGAGGAGGAGCAGGAGGAGGAGGAGGAGCAGGAGGAGCGCGCACGGAGCAGCGGGAGCGCCGGGGACCGCGCAGCACGGCCCGCAGTGCGGACCCGGGAGGAGCCTTTACCTTCAGCCTCCACGGCCGCGAGCAGGAGCAGGGCCGCGCCCAGGGCGGCCAGCGCCGCGGGCAGCCGGGTCCGCATGCTGACTGACGCTGAGCTCCGGCGCTGGCTCGGGGGGCTGCGGGAGGAAGCGGGCGTCATAACCCAGCCGGCAGCGGGTCTCCCGGACCTGGGCCTGCACGTGCCCAGCACCCGGCCAGACACTGGGCCAGCCCGCACGTGCCTGCCGGGCCCACAATGGAGCCACGGAAGACAGCTCCTCCGAGCCAGGGGAGGGGGCGCGGGTTCGAGGGCCTGCGTCCCTTGACATGGTCCTGCCACCCACAGGGAGGCTGACAGCCCCGTGAGACCCTGACCCTGTGCTCTGCCTGGGAGATCTGACTCTGACTGGCCACATGCATCTGTCTCTCCCGGCCAGGCTGCTGCTTCCTAGCTGCTGATCTCTTCAGGTAACTGTGCTTTACTGGTCTCCCAGTAATTTGGAAAAGTATAATAAACCTCTTTTACTTTCTGTTTTCTTCATTTTTTTTTTTTTTTTCTGGCTGCGAATTTTTAGGTGTTCCAGATCTGAAATATGTAAGGCTCGGCTGAAACCTTTGCCAACGATTAGGGTTGACAAGGAATACATAATAAAAAGAGACAGGAAAAAGCAGAGTAAAAACACCCTTGTCTATTTTCTCAAAATATTTCTGATTAAAAAGTCTTGGCAATAAAATGATCTTGGCAAGTTATGTTCACTTATCCTGGAAGACCACAGTCGTATATACTCCAGTGTGTTCTATGCTGATGTTTCCTGATTCTGTAACTAGATTACTAAATCCTTAAAGACAAAGCAAGCATCTGGCTTATCTTTTGTAGTTCCCCAACACACAGTAGGTGTTTGATCCAAGTCACCAAAATGTGATCTCCTAAAACATTCTAAGGTCCAGTCTAGGGACAAAAGCTACCTAGCAATGAACTGAACTGGGAAGTGGCCAATGGCAAAACATAAAAGAGAGTTGACTCTGAGGTGAGCCTCGTGGAAAATGGAGGGGACACAGGAGACTGGTGCTTAGGAATCCAAGAATGACCCAAAGGACAATTCTTCCTTGAGAAAAGAAAGTGGCAGTTTCTACCCAAGCCTTTCCAAAGCAGTGGCACAGGCATTGGAGCAGCTGTGGAGCTGGACTGCAAATTGCATTTTAAGTGTCTGGCTGCAGGCTGCCAAATTGCCCTCAGCTCCTTTGTATGAAGTTCAAAGTCTATGGCTTCTCCAGGGGATCTCAGGGCCCTCACCATTTCTCTCTGCCTAATTAACTGACATTTCCAGTCCTCTTGTACATCAGTGAAGAGGAAGTGAGACTGGCCCGTGGTTCCACACCATCTGGCCTTTACTATAATAATTTCCAATTCAGTTGATGTCCAGCTAAAGACTGATCATTGACCCACAAAATACTGTGTGCAGATTTTTTTAAAAAGTTGAACTGACCACATAAATTTGAGGCTGTAAGGATGTAATAACAGCACCAGAGCAGGATTCCCCAACACACCCTCGACAAACTGCCAAATCCCCGTGGGCCAGGCAGAAGCAAGCTTCCCGAGTAGCTAGAAGCAAGCTTCCCGAGTAGGCTTTGGGGAGGATGGGAAAAGCAAAATCTCTGGAAACCGAACTTACTCTGAGAGGCCGAGAAAGGGGGCAGCAGAGTCCGCCTGCGGTGGCGAATCCTCGGGTGACCCTCGCGCCAGGCGACAGCGCAACCACTGGGCGTTCCGAGCGAATGCAGACGGCAATGGGAAGGTGACCAAGGAGGGCTGGAAGAGGAGAGCCCGGGAGCACCGCAGATGGCCGGGGCGCCTGCTGACGCGGAGCCTGCGCCTTCAACGGGGCTGCTCCCGACTCAGCGGACTCGGTTAGCGAACGCCCACCCGGAAGGTGAAGAACTCCACGCGCAAGGTCCGCCCCTCCGGCGGGAAGGAGGCTCAGGGGAGGAGAGGAGGGAAGAGGAGGGGAGGTTCCCTTCTCTCTTCTCCCCCCCCCCCCCCGTCCTCTTCTCTTGCCTTCTCCCCTGTCCTTCCCCCCAGAGCTGACCTTTGCAGGCCTGACCTTCTCTCCATTAGACCTGCTAGCGTGAGAACTTGCCTTTAGTGTCAGGAACACGTGTAAGGTCTTCCCACCCTCCCGCACCTCCTCTAGTGCATGAGTTGCCTCCACTGAGATCCCGGGATCGAGGCTTGGCCCACACCAAGTGCAGCTGACAAGGAGCACAAAGAGACTACACAGTGCACAGGACCCACCCCAAAGTCCTCTGGCCGGGATGTCTGACCAGCATAGGATGTCTGATCAGCCTGAGGACTGAGATCAAACAGGCTCACACTGTCCCTGTGGCAGGCAGCCACAACATAGCCCCGGTACCAGTGCACATCTCTCTGGAGTCTGTGGAGAGCACCACTCCGCTCCATGGGTTCCGAGTCACCCCAAGCGACAAGCCCAGTGTGTGGGCCCCTGCAGCCTGGTCCTCGCTCGAGGTCTGTGTAGGTGAGGACGCAGGAGCGAAGTCCAGGCTAGGGGGCTTCAGGGTGCTGTGGATGCCCGCTGAGCCAGAGAAGTCCAGGATCAGTCTACAAAAGGCAACGGCTTTGCCCACGAGCCGGCCAGGCTGCCTGCCGGTCCCAGACGTTTTCTCTGAGTGGTGTGTGTGCGCGCACACGCGCTTGCTCGCAGGAACACGTGGCTCTGAGTGTGTAGCGCCCTACCGCGCCCCCTTCCCTCCAGCAGCCCCGGCCCTCGCTGGCTCCCCACGGTAGGGCCACAGACGGCGAGGCTCAGGAGTCCTCCGGAGAACGCAGGGAGCTTCAGCCCGGAACCGCGTTAGGGATGCGCGTGGAGGCGTCTCTTGGGCTTGGTATTCTGCTCACGAACTAGACACGAGGCACCTGAAATAACGTCGGCAAATGTGGGTCGGGGAAGCACACAGAACACCTCCAGACTCGCTGCTCACTCACAAAAATGATCCCTGCCCTTAACTCCCAAGAGGGAAGCAGGAGCAAGAAGAGGGAGGGAACCGAGCGCCCGCGCCCGAGCCTCCCCGAGCAGGCTTCAGGAAGAGGACGCGCGCGCTCCAAGAGCACCGAGGGGCTGGACAGCAAGATGTCCTGTCCAGTGCCCGAGGCGGTGAAGACCGTGGGACCCCCTTTCCGTCCTGCGCCTTTCGGGGTGCGTCCAGATCTTAACCTCTCTAGGACGGGTTAAGGCTTGTGTTAAATCGTTGGGGTTTTAGTCTGGCTGTTGCCTGTGCCCCACATTCGTCGCGGCTCCCCGCTTCCCTCTCGGGCTCGCACCTCGTCCCCCTCGAGTCCGGGGTTCCCGGCGGCTCCGGCCTCGGATCGCTTGTCCCACAGCGCCATCTGGCGGTCAGCCGCGACTCAGTTCAAAATTGCGGATGGAGAGCTGTGGACAGGGTTACAAGCCTTGGGGTGGTTTCTCAAACACATGGCCTTCATCTCTGTGATTCTCGAGACTGAGAGGCCATAGGACGGGAGAGGAGGGAAGAGAGACACGGAGTCTTTCTTTGTGGCCATTCATTAGCCGCCTACGGAAACCCTGTCCTCTAAAATGTGAGGTTCTGGGTGCTTTCTACTGAAGAAGTGTAAAGGGTAAGCAAAGATGTGACTTCAGCAGGAACACAGCGCCGCCCTAATTCCAATTATGGCAAGTGTCTGGATCCACTCAGCTCAGCCCGCGCCAGCGTACCTGGGTCAGGTGTGACGTTTCTAGGTGTTCCCCTGGGGACTTCTGGCTGACCATGTCACAGGGCGGTGGAGCAGAAGAAGCAACTTATCCAGACTGTGGCTTCCTCAGCCAGGTCTGTGAAGGACTAGGGAAGAGAGGTGAGGTGCTCAGAGAGGCACGATGCACCTCCTGTTCTGCCCCTCAGAGGGAGAGAGCCAGCCAGCCAGCGCCCAGAGCTGTGTGTGTGAGGCTCCCTTCGGTACTGAAGGTAACTGTGTGCAGCGTGTGTTTGATGAGCACTGTCTGTGTACCTGAACAGAGCAGCTGATAGTTAAGACAAAGCCCTGCCCTGCAAAGTCTGCCAAGCAACACCTGGGACACCTGAGGAGCTTCTCGTGGCCCGCTTAAGTCTCCCCAGAGAGTGAGTCCTCAAAGTGTTTCATACTGGAAGTGAGACTCAGTAAACAGTCACCATCGCTGCACTCCAGAAGCATAGGACTGCGAAGCCTAATGCCATGATTAAAGGCAGGACCTGGGGTGCACTTCACGCCTGCTGCCTGCTTGACAGGCTCTGCAGTTTGAGCACCTTTTCAGGGAAGCGAGCAGGCTTTGTGCACGTTTCACCCAGACCTGTTGGCCCACCAAGACTGAAACACAACCTCCCCCACCCGCAGGGTGGGCAGCTTTGGAGCAAAAAGAAGAAACTGTGTTATATTTATTTTACTAGTCAAAGTGGCTGGCTCAAACCTCACTTGAGCTCAAAAAGCTGTGGCCACATACGAAACCAGTAAGTTTCAAAATATACTGCATGCACATATAGTATCATCCAGCTCACTGCCAAGCAGACTGAGATGCAGCAGTGGCACAGTCATGGTCAAAGAGATTTCTATTCTCTAATTGGAACTTCTATGATGGATGAACTGTGACTAAATGCACCATTTTCTAATTCTTTTTATACATTTACTAATTCATTCAACTACTTTTAGAATGCACAGGCACTCCTGCCTCAGCCAAGTATAAACACAGATCCTGGAATTTTCCATGTCCTAAATCTAATGTGGAATGCACCCTCTGGTGGGACCATTACCTGATCAGACTCAGTTTAATTTTTCTTATTCTGAGCATTCATTTACAAATGCAGTTATTAGTCACTAGAAACCACAGAGATTATTTTTAAGGCAAACCAAAAGACTTTCTGTCCATAAGAAACTTAAATGTAGTAACAGAGACCAGAAACAAATATGAAAGCCCAACTAATAATAATCATCATAACTATGAAGGAGCTGAGCTTTTTACCCTTCATAATCCTGCTAACAGCTTAGCCTGCTGAAGTTTCATGAGCCCTAGCAGAACACACAAGGAGTCAAAGACACAGGACTGTGTGGCACACAGCCCTGGCGGGAGTCACAGGATGATGCAAAGAGCCAGTGACCCTTGTCTGTGTAAGGGTTGCATTATGGGAGCTTGAGATTTTTCATAAGGGTAGTGAATTCACCTCACCTTTGACCTGTAGGGACACAGTGCTAGCTATACAGCAAGCAAACCTGTCCTTTGGTCTACAGAAAAATTATCTTTCCTCTTTTGTCTTCCAAAACCGTTAGTATCCCAGCACCCCAGAGGACATTTAGAGCAAAGGCAGTCAGAGCGTCTGCTCAGTAGACCTGCAGACATGTGAGATTCCCAGAGAGAAAATCTTCCTAGCAGTAAGAGCTACTGAGAGGTCACCAACGGAGAAAGCACTAAGGATAGAAGTGGATCCTGAAGAATCTGTGGGTCAGGTAAACTTCAGAGATTTATGTCACTTGCACTTGACTAAAACTGGAACAAAACAGTGATTAATATGGCCCAGTGCAAAGATGATCACGCAAATTTGTGAAATGTTCCATATTTTTTCATCAGGCAAGGTGATGCTCATCTGTAATCCCAAGATTTGGGAGGCTGAGCCGTAAGATCACCATGAATCTGAGGCCAGCCTGGGCTTCATAATTACAGCCTGTCTCAGCACACACACAAAAAGAAACTAGGAGTGAGTGTTGAAGCACAGAGTTCAGAATGAGAAGTTGAAACAATGCTAAAGGGCTGGGAAAGTGTTGGGCGAGGAAGAAAGCAGAGTGGTTTCAGCAGAAA